TTCTGTTTATCCTGGAATGTTTTGATTACACCATCATATTTGATTGACAGCTTTGCTGGGTAGAGGATTCTTGGGTGGCAGTTTTTTTTTTTTCTTTCGGGTTTTATATATGTCTCCCCATTGCCTTCTTGCCTGCATGGTTTCTGTTGAGAGATCCAAGCGTAATCTGATTTGGTTGCCTTTGTATGTTACACTTCTCTTTTCCCTAGCTGCTTTCAGTATTCTGTCCTTAACTTTAATTTTGGATAGCTTGATTATTATATGTCTTGGTGATTGTCTTTTAGGGTCTATCCATCCTGGGGTTTGTTGAGATTCTTGAATGCTTATTTTTTCACTTTTTGGAGAATGTGCTCATCTAGGTTGGCTTGTTGTTGTTAGGTGCCATTGAGTCGGTATGTCCAAGTTGGTACATAGTCTTAACTAGCTAATTACTCTCACCTTACGCCTCTGCATTTGTTACTTCCAGATGTATGTCGTTAATTCACAGAACAATTGGATAGTAGATTTTTTACTATTGTTTTAAATGAAAAATTTCAATTAAAGGTATAGCCAATTAGTGAGGACTAGGTGTAATTCTTTTTTAACCACTTCCTGTATTGTGATTCATTTTCATTTAATTATGGCAGAATTTTATGCTCATAAATTATTTGATGTGCAAATATATAAGTTGTTTTGTTGTTAAGTGCTGATGAGTTGGTTCTGACCCATAGCGACACTGTACAGGGTTTCTGAGGCTGTAAGTCTTTACGGGAGCAGAAAGTCTCATCTTTTTCCCCTGGAGCGGCTGGTAGTTTCGAACTGCTGACCTTAAGGTTTGCAGCCCGACAAAGGGATAATTATATTTATTTACCAGAAACAACTGGGGATACCTTGTTTGAAAGCGTTTTTATTGGCAAAATTTATAGTAGTGTTTATTTACATTCATCAATAGGTAGCATTCTCTTATATAAGTCTCTGTTTTTACAGTGCTCTCTCAGAGGAGGAAAAGTCTACATTGCGTGCAGGGCTCATCACCAACTTCAATGAGCCAATAAATCAGGTTAGAAAATGAATGTTGATTAATCTTTTTATTCTCTTAATTTTTTCTTCTTTCCTGATCTGGTTTTGTTTCTTGTCATTAAATATAAAATGTTATTATCCAGTACCCATTTGTGATGCTTATATATATACAAACATACACTGGTGGTTTTTAAATTTTGATAAACTGTTATAGCCATTAAGAATTTTGTTTAGACTTGGCTTATTAATGATGTAAAACTCAGTTGTCATTTTAAGTTATATCACTATAATTCTTAAATTTCTCAATTTTTGAACTAAATTAAAAGTACATCTTTGCCATATGCTTGTGGGCTTCATAAAGTTCATGGAAAAATTCCATTGTCTTTTAATTCCATTTTTTCTACAATTTTTTGTAGTCTCCTTGTATTATGTGAGCTTTTATTGCATAGAACTTAATTTTAATGATTTATATTTTAAAACTTAAAAAAAAAATGCAGTGTGTCTTCTGGTTTCTGTCTGTTTCCTTCATCATCATTTTTTCAATTTCCACTACTCTGGGGGTAAATATAGATGATACAGTTTCATTTTTTGTTTCCTTCAGAGTGATGTTTCTCTTTGATTAATAAAATAAGTTTTATAAAATTTTTATAAAAATTCTTAAATTTTTTTCAAGATTTTGCTATTTGTTAATCCTGATTGCTTAGATTTGAATGTTAAAACATACTGAATTTGGTAGTATTACCAACTCGGTTTTATCTTGACATCTTTAAATTATCTCACTTCTCTTCTTTGCAATTCCTAGACAACAAAAAGAAGGGTATTGTAGAGGAACAGAGTTGCTTTCTTTTGGGCCTGAGGTGGCTTAGGAGGGGTTTGAGTGACTGAAGGTTAAACCACTTAGTGTTCTTTCAAGTATTATTTGGGAAACACTGATCTGTAGATTTATCTGTATATTTAAATCCTAATATTTTATAGGGAGTACTGGTGTGGTACTGTGGGTTAACGTACTGGACTGCAAAGTCGGTTTGAACTGCAAGGTCAGCCATTCAAGCTCACCAGCTGTTCCTCCAATACGATATACAGGGTCGATATGGGTTGGAACTAACTCAGTGGCACTTAACAACAAAAATATTTGATGTTAATTTCTAATTTTAGGTCATTAGTTCTAAAATTTTGTGGTCTCAGAACCACTTTCTATTGTTAAAATAGAAAACCCTGTAAGGGTTGGATGCATTTGATTTTTACAGTATTGGGATTTAAAACTGAGAAATTAAAAAAATGTTTGTTTATTAGATAATTTAAGAAATCATTATTTGCCAGCATAAATAAGCTTTAAAATGAAAAATAGCCATTTTCCCAAAGGAAAAAAATAAGTCAGAAGAGTGATATTGGTTTGCATTGTTATAAATTTCTTTAATATATGGCTATTAAAAATATGACATCTAGGTTTTTATATCTGTTCCTTCATTTGCTCTTTTGTAATATATTGGTTTGGTTAAAGTTATATGAAGGAAATATAACTTCACACTGATATGTAACTGGGAGAGGGAGGACCCCACTGTTACCCTGAAAGGGTTGTAAACCCCTCAGAGGTTTAAAGACTATTTTGTGAGTCTTCACTGCCCTAAGCAGTTTCTCAGTAAACATTCATTCATTCATTGTTTTCAACTGTGAATGCATTCTGTATCCTATACATTTATTTTTAATGGTTAATATTTTCCCTCTAGATTGCAACTCAGATCGCAGTGTTGATTGCAAAAGTTGCTAGATTGGATTGTCCTAGACAGTGGCCTGAACTGATTCCCACTCTTATAGAATCTGTTAAAGTCCAAGATGATCTTCGACAGCACCGAGCATTGCTTACCTTCTATCATGTTACCAAGACTTTGGCATCTAAACGACTGGCTGCTGATAGAAAATTGTTTTATGATGTAAGTGATTTAACATCGTCTTGATTATAAGCACTGTGTTATTTGTGTTACAACGGCTGTACTTTTTGCTCAAGATTAATATTTTATTGAGTGACTAGCTATTGTTTCTAATAAACCTAAAAGGGGTCAAGAGAAAAGCTAACTTTTACAAAAAAATATTTTATTGTGAATTACGTGATAGTTTACATGGGCGAACATTAGATTTACATACATCCTATCGTATATTGTTTCATTGCCATGGTTGCAATCCCCTCCATGCATCATCAACTAAACAAAGAGAATAAATACCCTGCAAGCCTTCCCCCTGGTCGTCAGCACACAGCTCCCCTCCATCTTTGGATCTAGAGTCCCCAGCCACTCCTTCTCTCCACATCATTGTCTCTGCCTCTGTCTCTGGTGTCACTGCTTCTCTGCGTAGGGTCCCACACTCTGCTCTTCTCACTTGATGGTCCCAGGGACCTCTGCTCCTAGACTGCAAAGTCAATCACCCCTCTCCTTTTGCTACAAAATGTCTACCTTTACATTTCCAACACTCACGGACAGTCCTGATAGCAATTATTCACTATTGTATCACAAGAGACCTATCCCCATCTCCTTTCATCAGCCCCACCCAGACAGATTGGATACTACTCAGTGGAAATTCTACCTTCCTTCACGCCTTTCAAGAGGGAGCCTAGATCCTTCTAGAGGGATCTAGGCTCCCTCTTGAAAGCTTGTATGCCAGTCTCTTCTTGCCTTTATTGCCCCCCCATTTTGGGTAGCCAGTGTCCAAGTTGACCAACCTTGTCTAGCCTGTGTATTGAGGGGGTGGGAATAATCCTCGCTGTAAAGATTTGTTCCCACATTTGAGCTACTGCATCCATTAGGTGTAGGTCAAGTAAATCAAATTTTATTAGATTACTCTTTTTCTCTTCTGTTTGATTCTGATCATTCAGCCATTGAAGCCCGGTCAAGTGGGTATTATCTACAAGTGTGGGTGTTCTTGTGCATATGCCCTCACTTAAAAGATAACTTTTGAAAATCCTAAACTGAGTAGAAAAGTCACTTAGTTGACAGTGAGGAGGATTGTTTGGAAGGAAATTATCTGAAGGCATAGAAATCAGTGTGAGACTGTTAAAGTAGTTCAGCTGTAAAATGAAGCAATGATAAAATGACCAATGAGTAGGGGACAGACTTGAGAATCAGGAAATAAAATTGCTACGTCTGGGTAACCGATGAATGTAAGTCAGGACTAGGTAGGAGTAGAACCCTTTACTACCAGGTTTGTTAGCTCAATTTGTTGAGAAAAGACCTTCCTTTCTCCAGTTGCTTTGGTACTTACTATGTTTCACTGTTTCTTGCCTAAGAAAACAATGATTTCCTAGGCAAACAAACACAGCTCTGTTTGTTCTTTTGGCAGCCCATGCAATTTCAATATTCACCTCCAACACCATAACTCAAATGCATCAATTCTTCTGCAGTGTTCTTTGTTCACTGTCCAGCTTTTGCATTCATATGAGGTTATTGAAAATACCGTGGCTTGGGTCAGGCTCACCTTAGTCCTAGGCAAATGATTTCCAAAGACTCGAAAACAAACTTAGAGACTTGTACAACAGTATTCATTACAGCACTATTCACAAAACCAAACATGGAAACAGCCTAACTGCCCAGCAACAGGTGAATGGATAAATAAAATATGTACAGTGGAATACTAATATTTTTAGCTGCACCAAGCAATGCTCATGAACCTCAAAATTTATTTTGTGTTCTTACTTTGAACAATTGTAGAGAAATTTAAAGTTGTTGTTAGGTGTCATTGAGTCAGTACTGACTAATAGTGACCCAATGCACCACAGAACGAAACACTGCCTTATCCAGGACCAACCTCACTATTGTAGCCATGCTTGAGCTCATTGATGCTGCCACTTTGCCAAGCCATCTCGCTGGGGGTCTTCCTCTTTTTCTCTGACCATCTGCCTCACCAAACATGATATCCTTCTCCAGCGACTGGTCCCTCCTGGCAATATGTTTGTAGTATGAGAGACGAAGTTTGGCCATCTTGGCCTCCAAGGAGCACTCTGGCTGCACTTCTTCCAAAATGGATTCTGGCAGCCCATACCACTTTCAGTATTCTCCTCCAACACCATAACTCAAATGCATCAATTCTTCTACAGTGTTCCTTGTTCACTATATAGTTTTTGCATGCATATGAGGTTATTGAAAATACTATGGCTTGGGTCAGGCACACCTTAGTCCTTAAGCTGATATCTTTTCTCTTCAATACTTTATAAAGGTCTTGTGCAGCGATTTGCTTAATGGAATACGTCGTTTGATTTCTTGACTGCAGCTTCCATGAGTGTTGATAGTTGATCCAAGAAGAATGAAGTTCTTGATAATTTCAGTCTTTTGCATGAAGTTGTGCAATTAGAAATCTTATGAGGTCACATGATATGGCCTCAGGAAATGGTTTCAAGTGTGTTCTGAGCATACTCTACAGAAAACGAGAAATATATATCTATATATCTATAAATGTATCTAATGTACTGGTATGGCACTATGGCGACAGACTGCAAAGTCATTTGAACTGCAAAGATGGATGTTCAAGTTCACCAGCTGCTCCTCAGAAACCCTATACAGGGTTGCTATACGTCAGAATCGACTCAAGGGCACTTAACAACTATACACACACACACACACACACACACACATAAGTTTTTACTGTAAATTCAGTGTAAGTTTACAGGGCGGATCATCAGTTTTATGTTCAACAAATCATATACTAGTTTCATTACAATGATTATAACCCCTACCATGTACCTTCAGTTAACAATATTTCTCTCTATTCATTTTAGCTCTTTTTTGTTTTTTAAACACTCAGTTATATATAATAATTTATACCACCAAAGGGCACATACTGCAAGTTTGCCTCCTGGCCACCAGTTCTCAGTCTCTGTCTTCCCATGAATCTAGAGTCCTCAGCTGCTCCCTCTCTCCATGTCCCCATCTCTGCCTCCATCTCTGGTGTGTCTCCTTCTCTGGATAGGGTCCTGTATTCCGCTTGCGCTCTTCTCCCTTGATGGTCCTAGGGTTCTCTGTTTCTGGACTGTAAGATTAACTACTCCTTCATTTTTTTTTTTTACAAACTTCTACCTTTACAATTGTGACAGTCGCAGTTAGTCGTCATAGCAGTTACTCACTATTTTTTTTTCCCATTATCAATCTGTAATTTGTTAAAAAAACACACGATATTAACTAGTCATAGGAACAGTTGGACCAACAGTTGCATGAGTTTAAATTACATTAGTTTGATTTAACAGTATGTACATCTCCTGACTGTTTGAATCTTTATGGTATTCTGCTTCATAATTATGACTTTAACTGCATGCCTAATGTTTCACTGTAAATATGTGCTAATGACTCAAGATTCCTCCTTTGATTCGTAGTACTAAATCGAAGGTATAATGTTTATAAAGTTGTCTAACGGAAGAATTCCAGCATCTAGTCCTGGACCTCCTTTCCTTCTCTTGTGCTACTGACGCGCCCTGTGAATCCTTTTGCTGCCCTCTTGATGTCGATAGTCTTCACTTAGGCCTGGGCATTGTTCATAATTGCCTTTCAGCTTCCTTCTTCCAGATTTCCAGTAAAGAACATTTTGCGTATTTTTGCATTCTTAGCTATGTATTTCAAAGACCCATTAAGGTGAGTGACGTTAAGTGGTAAGTTGTTGACAACCTCAATTCTGCTAAGATGGTACTAGCATTTTTTTTTTTTGTAAGGTTTTTATTGTGGATTGAGTGAAAGTTTACAGACAGGGCAGATCATCAGTTGTACGTTCAAAAAATCATACGCCTTGTTTCATTTCAATGATTATAATCCCCTTCATATACCATCAGTAACATTATTTCTCTCTATCCACTTTAGCTTTTTTAAAAAAACACTCAGGCATATATAATAATTTAACTTTCCAAAGGGCACATTCTGAAAGTCTGCCTCCTGGTCACCAGTCTTAGTCCCTCTCTTCCCATAAATCTGGAGTTCTCAGCTACTCCCCCTCTCCCTGACCCCATCTCTGCCTCCGTCTCTGGCATCACTGCTTCTCTGGATAAGGTCCTACATTCTGCTTGTGCTCTTTTCCCTTGATGGTGCTAGGGTCCTCTGTTTCTGGACTGTAAGATTAACCACTTCCCTGTTTTTGTTAATAAACTTGTACCTTTACAGTTGTGACAGTCCCAATTAGTCATGATAACAATTATTCACTACTGAATCATTCAAATCTCATTCCCATCTCTTTTCACCAGATGAAAATCTGTTCATCTAGACAAGATGAAATCTGTTCAGTGGGAACTCTTTCTTTCCCCCCATACTCTTAAACTAAACTCCCTCTTGAAACCTTGTAAGGCCGTCACTTCATGCCTTTATCGCCCCCTCATTTTAAGTAGCTAATGTCATGAGGTACAGTGCTATAAGTGATAGGATAATGTCCATGCACCTACAGGGAAGCCCAGTTAATACCACTATTATTCAAATTTATGCACCAACAACTAAAGCCAGTGAAGATGAAATAGAAGAATTCTACCAGCTTCTTCAATCTGAAATTGATCAAACATGCAATCAAGATGTATTCCTCATTACTGGTGATTGGAATGCAAAAGTAGGGAGCAAAGAGGAGGGTCCAGTAGTTGGAAACTTTGGACTTGGTGATAGAAATGATGCTGCAGAACGAATGATAGATTTCTGCAAGACAAATGATTTGTTTATTTCAAATACCTTCTTTAGAC